CTCCTTTTTTCTTAGTCAAGCTAAATGTTTGTCAATTTTGCTTACCTTTCTAAAAAAAACTCAGTTTCATTAATATTTTCTGTTGTTTTACTAGTCTCTATTTCATTTATTTCTGCTCTGGTCTTTATTATCTCTTTCCTTCTGTTATCATTGGGCTTAGTTTGTTCTTGTTTTTCTAGTTCTTGAAGATGTAATATTAGGTTATTTATTTGGGATCTTTCTTCTTTTCTGATGTGGATATTTATTGCTCTAAACTTCTGACTCAGAAAAGCTTTTGCTGCACCTCATCCCATGGTATGTTGTGTTTCCATTTTTGTTTGTCTGAAAATATTTTTCCAACATCCCTTTTAATTTGTCAATGACCCATTAGTTGTTAAGAAGTATGTTGTTTGATTTCTAAGTATTTATGAATTTTTGTAAAATTTTTCCTGTTACAGATTTTCCAGTTTCATACTGTTGTGTTTGGTAAAGATACAATTTCAATTTGCACTTGAGAAGAATGTATATTCTACTGCTGTTGCATGGAATGTCTGTTAGGTTCATTTGATTTAAAGTGTAGTTTACATTTAAAGTTTCCTTAATGATTTTCTCTCTGGATGATCTGTCCATTACTGAAAGTGGAATAATAATGTTCACTGCTATTATTGTGTTACAGTCTATCTCTTCCTGCAGGTTCCTTAATATTTCTTTTATATATTTATGTACTCTAATGTTAGATACATAGATATTTATCATTGTTATATCTTCTTTCTTAACTGACACCTTTATCATTAATCTTCATCTTGTTTTACAGTTTTTGATTTACAGCCAATTAAGTCTGATATAAAAATAGCTACACTTGCACTCTTTTGGTTTCTAATTGCATGGAATACATTTTTCCATCCCTTTACTTTTAATCTATGTGTGTCCTCAAAGGTGAAGTGTGTCTCTTGTAGGCAGCATATTATCTGGTCTTATTTTTTAATTATTTAGCCACTCTGCATATTTTGATTGGAGAATACAATTTACATTCAAGGTAATTATTGGACTTGCTACTGCTGTTTTGTTAATTGTTTTCTAGCTGTTCTGTAGATTTCTTTCTTCCTTTCATTCTCTCTTGCTGTCTTCCTTTGTGGTTTGATGGTTGTCCATAGTGGTGAGCTGCTTTTATTTATTTTTTTTCTTTTTTGTCTTTTGTGTGTCTACTATAGGCTTTTGCTTTGTGAATACCATGAAACTTACAAAACACATAACAGGTTATTTTTAGCTGATAACAACTTAATTTGGAGCATACAAGAAAATGCTCCACTTTTACTCACCTTCTTTCCTCACATTTAAAATTTTTGCTGTCACAATTTACATCTTTTCATACTGTGTATCCCTTAAAATTTTGTAGCTATTACTACTTTTAATAGTTTTGTCTTTTAACATTCATAGAAAGATATGTTATTTACACACCACCACTGAATTATTCTGAATTTTACTGTGTACTTACTTTGCCAGTGAGTTTTTTTCAGATGTTTTTGTGTTACTGATTGGCATACATATATTTCAGCTTGAAGAACTCTCTTTAGTATTTCTTATTAGATGAGGCTGGAGGTGATAAACTACCTCAGCTTTTGTTTGTTTGTTTGAGAAAGTCTTTATATCTCATTTCTGAAGGACAGCTTTGCAGGGTATAGTATTTTGGGTTGGCAGATTTTTTAGTCTCTGCTGAGAAATTCACTGCTAGCCTTATTGAAACTCCTTTATATGTAATTTGCTATTTTTCTCGTGGTGCTTTTAGGATCCTCTCTTTGTCTTTGATTTTTGACAGTTCGATTATCAAATGGCTTGATGTAGTTCTGTTTGGATTGAATCAAGATGAAGAATCTTGACCTTCCTATATCTGAATATTTATTTCCTTCTTCAAATTTGGAAAGTCTCCTGCTAATATTTTTTTAAAATAATCTTCCTGGACTTTGTCTTTCTCTTCTCCTTCATGAACTCCCCAAATATTTCCTCTTTTGATACTGTCCCATAAATTCTGTAAGCTTTATTTGTTTCTTTTCATTCTTTTTTCTCCTCTGACTGAATATTTTCAAGTAACCTGTCTTAGAGTTCACAGAGTCTTTTGCCTGCTCGATCAATTCTGCCATTGTTGCTCTCTGTTGCATTTTTCATTTCATTCATTGTATTTTTCAGCTCCAGGATTTCTGTTTGATATTTTTTATAATTTCAGTCTGTCTGTTAAATTTCTCATTAGGGTCATTTATTGTTTTTCTGATTTCATTGTTTCTCTCTCTCTCTCTCTTTCTCTCTTTTAAGTTCACTGAGCTTCCTTAAAAGCAATTGTTTTGAATTTTTTGTCGGGTAGTTTGTACATCTTTTTTTTTTTTTTTTTTTTTTTTTTTTTTTTTTGCTGTCAACCACTGGGACATTGTTGTCTTCTTTTGGTGGTGTTATGTTTCTTTTGTCGTTTATGTTTCTTGTTGCCTTACATTAATGTCTGCATATTTGAAGAGTTAGAGACTTATTGCAATTTTGCAGACTGATTTTTTTGGGAAAGCCCTTCATCAGCCAGCTCAGAATCTCGAGATTCTGATCAAGCCATCTGGCATGGTCCAAGAGTAAGCTTGATGCTGAAGTCCTCAGGCTGGCTGGCCTGGTGCCTGGGTGAGCAAGTGGATGGACCTGACACTTGGGTCTGCAGGGTTGGGTCTAAAGCCTGGATCCACTGAGGTAGACTTGCTAATTGGGCCTACAAGGATGGGCTTGAGGCCAGGGTTCACAAGGGCAGGCCTGGAGTCTGTATCCCTGATGCCTGGGTCCACAGATGCTGATCTGGAACTGGGATTTGCCTGGTGCCTGAGATCTTGGGGGCTGGCCTGGTGCTGGGACAGGCCTGGGTCCAGGAGTGCTGGCCTGATGACTAGGGCTATGGGAGTCAGCCTGATGCTGAGATAGGCCAGAATCCTGGAGCCATAGGGCCAGTCCAGTGCTTATGCAGGAACTGTCTTGGAGCCCTAGTCCACAGCATCTGGTCTGGCACCAGGGTCTACTTGGATGAGCCTGGACTCTGTGTCCACTGGAGCTTGAGGCTATGGGCACTGGCCTGGACCCTGAGGCCAGGCTGGTGCTGGGGCTAGCATGGAGCCTGGGTCCATGGGGCTGTTCAAGAGCCTTAGACTGTAAATACTAGATTGATGCCTGGAGCCACTGGGCTGTCCTGGAGTCTGGGGCCATGAGGGCTGGTCCAGCTTTGGGGTCTACTGAGATAGGCCTGGACCCAATGTCTGCTAGAGCATGGGACCACAGGGGCCAGTCTGGAATCTGGGCTGTAGGACTAGCCTGGTACCGAGAAGGCCTGAAGCTCATGTATGCAGGTTCCCACCTGGTGTTTGAGGCCAGGGGTGCCAACCTAACACTGTGGTGGGTCTAAAGCCTGAGGCCAAATGAGATGGCTTTGTGCTGGGCAGGCCAGGATCCCATACCTGCAGGGGCCAGCCTGGAGACTGGGTCCAGAAGTACTGGCCTGATGACTAGGGCTCTGAGAGTTAGCCTGATGCTGAGATGGGCCTGAATCCTGGAACCATGAGGGCCAGCCCAATGCTTGGGGCATTTCAGAGCCCAGGGCCTTGGGGCCAACCTGGTCCTGGGGTGGAGCTGGAACCTGATTCAGTGGGGATGGTCTGGCATGAGCCTGAAGCCCAGGGACACTGGGGCCTGCCTAACACTAGGCCTATTCAGAGCCTTGGACCTCAGGGGTGGCCTGGCACTGGGGCAGGCCCAGAGATTTTGCCTGCCAGAGAGGCTTGGACCCTGGGGCTTTGAAATTCTGGCTGGCACTATGGCAGGCTTAGAGGCTCAGTCTAAGGGTACCAGCCTGGGTACTGTGGGAGCTGGCTTGGTGTTGGGTGGGCAGGCTGGGTCCATGGGTGTTTGCCTGATGACTAGAGCTGCAGGGGTCAGCCCAGTGCTGAGGGTGGCCTGGAGTCTAAGGCTGATGGGGATGGCTTATTTGTAATCTCTTTTTTCTGACAGTTAGAATCTGGCTCCTATCACTTACCATTTATTCACTTATTTGTTTAATCTTGTATACATGTAAAGTAGTTTTAGAATTGTCTACCAATACCTCTGTGAGAAACAAATTTATCAGAGACCTGCTCTCTGAAAAACTGACTAAAAGAGCTGCTTGGTAATCCCCAATATTAAAATGATACATGAGAAGCAAACTTCTAGTCTGTGAAGCCCATGAGATTAGCCTATTTATTCTAAAGTTATCAAATGAGGCAGCAGAAGTTGGAAGCTTGTGTGCATTGTAGGATATTGGGGATTGTAGTAAGTATAATCAAAGGTAGTGGACAGAGTGGAAAAAAAGCTGAGGCCCACTGTTGGTAAATGATTTTATTTGTCAAGGTTTTGCTCCTGCCCAGCCCTCAGTAAAAATAGACTGGTGTTCCTAAAAGTAGCCACACAGTACTGATTTGAGGTCTGTTATACATCTCCCAGCCCACACTGGTGGTGGACCAATTTTAGATTTTCTGTAAGAGAAAAAAGGTTAGATGCTTAGAGGCTAGAGAACTCTGAGAAACAAGCATTCATCCCTAACCAGGCAAAGGGACGGGAATACTTTAATGTAACAATAGAGTCATCCACCTCTGACTAGGTGAAGCATTGGTCCATCAAACAGAGAAAAGTAGAGACTTTGGGCCTGGCTGAGTTAAATAAGCCTGTAGAAAGGTCTGACTATGAAGGGAGTGGTTAGGAATCTGGACAAAAGATAGGAAAATAGCAAACTGTTGAGTAATATAAAGAGGACAGCACAGGCATTGATTATATAACGAAAGAAGCAATGGGCATGAAGCTGATGTCTTGGTTTATTTGCAAATGAATTGCTATCCATGGGCAGCATGGTCTTCTGCTATTTTCATCCCTAGGATTTGGGGTACTTCAGTCTTTTGTTTAAGAATAATAATCTCTGAGAAGAGCATAAGAATTAATGAAGACACACACCCAAGCACACTTCTCCCAACTCACCTCGTTTTCCCAGCAGATGTTTCCACAGTAGGTCCAACAGCATTTTTGATTTATGTCTCTACATTTAAAGTGTCTAGAACACTTATTGGTACATTCTTTGACATTTGGCTGTCCCCAGCACTCCTCAATTAACAGTTCTTGAACTGAAATTGAGATGAGAAGATAAGAGGTTGGCAGGGCTATGTAGCCAAGCATAGGAAGAGAAGCCCTTCATAAGTTTAACATCTCCTCCTACAATCCAAGCCCCAAGTCTCCACCAAGGTATCTATCTGCCTTATAGGAAAATTCCCTTCCTGAGCTTCCTCAAATTCCAGATATTGCATCTTCACTGACCTCTTTGTCTTCTCTGCTCCTATACTCTTTCCAGTGCTGTGGGCCTCTGGGCCACTCAGCAACCAAGAGATAGGACTTGGTGTATCCCAGCATTCATGTGCCCTTCTATATAATCTACATTTATAAAATAGGAGATTCAGAGCCTGAGATATCTTCTAGCCTCATTAAAATTCCTAGCTACAGGGAGAATAAGAAATAGATTCTCTCTCTTTTTCTTCCCCTCCTTGTTTACCCTGCCTTCAGTAACCTCTCTAAATTCTTCTCTTTCTCATTCAATTTTCTTAGCGTTTTCGTTGATTTCATTTTATTATCATATGACCCTCCAGTTTTGCCCCATGAGAACCCATCTCATGCCTCTTTTCTATCTTTTTACATCCTGAAAGATCCTACCACTAGAACTAAGGGTATGTATGAGTATTAAAAAACACCCATTTGAAAGTAAGCACAGCTAAGGCACAGAACTTCTGGAAGTTTGAGAAAGTAAGATAGTTCTATACTGTCGCCACCCTCAAAGACAGCCTGACACTGGAAAATATTGTATCTTTATAGCTTATGGAATGTATATAAAAGTTGGCATATATTCACTGCTATTTTCAAGGTTGGAAGAGGAAACATTGACGGACCTCAGCTTGGGAATTTCTTGGATCTCTGTGCATATGAAGGTGTCTGATTCTCCATTGAGTGATCCTGGGAAGGTGGGTCTTGTATCAGATATTTCAGACATGATACCCCCTCACTTGTCCTAGAACAAGCATAGCCCCCCCCTCCTTTGGTCCCTGCCCAGCCTCACCACCTACAGTTATGCTTTTTCTTCATTTCTCCCAGCACGGACAGCACCATACAGAAGAATCCCATGAGTAGGGTTATCCAGGGCATCATGATGCTGACCATATGTGTCTGAATATATGCAGTCAGGTAAATTTTTTTCCTTCCCAGCTGCTGCTAGAGATTGAGAGACCTAAATATGGAAAGAGAGGTGGAAAGCAAGAGGAAGTGCTTATAGAATTTCTTCATGCTTTTTCTTCTAGTTATTTCTCCTTGCCCTCTGCCCATCCAGCGACAAACACCTAAGATGAGCATTGACGTTGCCAAAAGGTATCTCTCCAGCTCACACCTCATGTTTTCCCTTTACTGAAAAAAAATATTTTAAAAATGTGTTGCCTTCCCTTGATTAAAAGAGAATTCAAATTCAGCTTACAAAATTCTTAACACATAAAAAGTACAAAGAAAATGAAATATTTCTAGTAATCCCACTATTTTAGTGTATAATATTCTATCTTTTGTATGTGCACTGGTATGAACATTACTGGTTTTGTAAAATTGAAATCATATCAGGCTTGTGATCATATAACTTGAGTTTTTTTTTTTTTCATTATTATTATTTTATTTTATTTTATTTTCATTTTGGCTCCCTGTCAGGGAATCAAACGCCGGTCTCCCATGGGACAGGTGGGGATACTCACCACTATACAAACTACTTTATTAAGGTATAATTGACACATAAAAAGGTGTACATATTTAATGTATACTACATAATCAGTTTGGAGATGAGTATATACCTGTGAAAATATCACAATATAGGCCATAAACATATCCACCACCTCCAAAAGTTTCCCTCAGCCCTCTTTATTTATTATTTAATGTGTGTGTGTGATAAGAACACTTAATATAAGATCTACCATCTTAGCAAATTTTTGAGTTCACAATACATATTGCTAACTATAGGTGATATGCTGTACAGCAGATCTCTAGGACTTATCCCTCTTGTATAAATGAAACTTTGTACCCTTTGACCAATATCTCTCCTTGCCTCCCTCCACCCCCCATCACCCATTGGCAACCACCATTCTACTCTCTGTTTTTATGAGTTTGAACATTTTAGATTGCACATTTAAGTGAAATTATGCTGTATTTGTCTTTCTGTGTTTGGCTTATCCCACTAAGCATAATGTCCTCCAGGTTCACCCATATTGTCACAAATGTCAGGGGTTTTCTTTTTAAAGGCTGAATACTATTCCATTGTGTGTATACACCACATTTTTCTACATATCTTTATTTATTTATTTATTTTATCATTATGCAATGTAAGCATTTTTTGTGGTCCTTTACCAATTTCTCCCTAACAATCCCCCAACTCCCCCTTTCCCACCTCTGGTGTCCTGAGACCCATTCTCTCCTTTTGAGAGGTTAAGGAATTATTGTAATTATTGTGTCTTTCTCTCTCTCTCTTTTTTTTTTTTTTTCAGCTCCCACTTACGAGTGAGGAAATGCAGTATTTCTCTTTCTGTGCCTGGCTTATTTCACTTATATAGCAGAGTAGTATTCCATTGTGTATATATACCACATTTTCCTTATCCAGTCATCTGTCAATGGACATTTAGGTAGGGCCTAACTTTTAGCTATTGTAATAGAGTTGTGATAAACATGGGAGTGCAGTATATCACATTTTTTAATCCATCCATACAGCAATGGACATTTAGGTTGTTACCATGTCTTGGCTATTGTGACTAATGCTGTAATGAACATGGGGGTATAGATACTTCTTTAAGATCCTGATTTCAGTTTATCTGGATATATACCAAGAAGTGGGATTTCTGACTTATATGGTAGTTCTATTTTTAATTTTTTGAGAAACCTTCATATTGTTTTCCACAGTGGCTACACCAGTTTATATACACACACAGTATACAAGAGTGACCTTTTCTCCACATACTTGCCAACACTTTTTATATTTTGACTTTTTGATAATAGCTATCCTGACTTGTGTGAGGTAATATTTCATTGTGGTTTTTGTTTGCATTTCTGTAATGAATATCTTTTCATACACCTGTTGGCTATTTTTATATTTTTTGATAAATGTCTATTCAGATTCTTTGCCCATTTTAAATTGGATTATTGGTTTTAATGCTAATGATTTATAAAACTTCCTTATATATTTTGGATATTAACCTTTTATCAGATAGTGGTTCGAAAATATTTTCTCCCACTTGCAAGTTGCCCTTTAATTTTGCTGAGTTTCCTTTGCTGTGCAGAGCTTTTCAGTTTGATGTAATCCCACCTGTCTATATTTGCTCTTACTACTTGTGCTTTTGATACCATCTCCAAGATATCATTGCCAAGGCTATGATAAATATCAGAAAGCTTTTCCCCTATGTTTTTTCTAGTAGTTTTATGATTTCAAGTCTTATATTTAAGTCTTTAATCCATTTTGAGCTTTTTGTGTGTGTGTGCGTAAGGTGTAAGGGGTCCAGATTGCCTCTTTTGCATGGAGATATCCAGTTTCCCAACATCATTTACTGAAGAGACTTTCCTTTCCCCATTGTTTATTCTCGGCACTGTCATCAAAGATCAGTTGACCATATATGTATACGTAGGTTTATTTTTATGCTCTCCATTCCATTGCATTGGTCTGTATGCCTGTTTTTATGCCACTACCACACTGTTTTGATTACTGTAGCTTTGTAATGTATTTTGAATACATTACAAAGTGTGATGCTTCCAGCTTTGTTGTTCTTGCTCAAAATTACTTTGGCTATTTAGAGTCTATTGTGGAAAGGACATAGGACCTTAGCAGAAGGAATCAAAAAGTGAGTGGCCAGATGCCTAGGGTCTAGAGAAGAAGCCACAATAGACCAGCCAGAAAGGAAGTATATTCAGCCATATCAAGGGAACTACAGGTGAGAAAAATTCAACAATTGGGTTAGGGAAAGACTCAAAGAATCCATAAAAGCACCTACAACAGAGTAAACTTTAGGCAATGCTAAATCTAGAAAGTATGAAGGTACAATAGTACTTGTCAAAAAGAGCTGCCCTGACAGCTTTATCTCTTCTCCCTCCTCCACTTCCCAAATAGCAGTTAAACAGCTGTGGGAGTAGAGGCAAGAGAGAGAAAACTGAACCACTCTCTTTTTCAATTGCAGGTTTCTAGTTGTAAATGAAGCCATAAGTTTAATTTAAGCAATGTTTTGACTATTATATGGGCTTATACTTTTTATATCCTAAATTTAGCAGTGTCTTGTGACCTACAAGTGACTAGAAAGTTGGGTTCTATACCTAAGCTCTCATACAGAGGAAGAAAAAGATCTAGCTCCTCTAGATAAATTCCAAAGGGCCAAAGGACAAGCCTTTCAACATATTATTGGGCTGGCCAGTTAGCTCCATTGGTTAGAGCATGGTGTTATAACATATTACTAATAACATTCCCCATTAACATTTTCCCAACATACTAGTTACACATACCATTAATATTTTCCCATTCATCATAAGACATCTGAATATTTTTAATTTCTCTTCTTTAGAAGAAAGTATCATTAGTAACCTTTTTGCAACTGACATTTTGTTGTATCCATTAATAGCTTGAGAGCACAAATTTGCAGACTTATTTATAGATTTATAGATTTGCAGACTTATTTATAGTAAAGTATATGGTCTATTTCATTCTCTGGATAGTTGTTTCTAATTTTTTCTTTCATTAGGATTTGTTTACTCTACCAAGAGGATACACATTTTGTTTTACTGTAACAGAGAAATTCTCTCCTGTTTGCCACCAAACTGAGGATTGTTGGTATAGCATAAAACAGAGAACAAAGCATGGACACTGCAGTTGGAGACCTGGGCCTGAATCCCAACCCCAACACATTCAGCTTAATGTAAGTTATGTGATTGGCCAATCACATAACTTCTCAGAGCCTCAGTTTCCCCATCTATAATATGAGTTGTATTAGTACCCACATTGCAAATGTGGAACATATGAAACACTGAGAATAGGGCCTGGCACACAGTATGTGCAAAATAAACATTGGCTATTATTATTATTAAGCTTAGATTCTCTAGAGGGGTGATTGTTATTTAATTTTACTGACTTTTTGTTGTGTTATTTTATTTCAACTATTTAACCTACTTGTAATTAATTCTGGTGATTGGGTGAGGTTCATTCATCTGTCTTAAATTCATTCATCCCACAAATATTTATATTAAGGGACTATTATAAGCTGGGCACAATTATAAGCACTGAAGATACAGTAGTGAACAAAGCCAACAAAAATTACTGCCCTCATAAAGCTTACTTACATTCTAGTAGAAGGAATACGCAGCAAACAAGACACATAAAAGAAATACATAATACTTTATATGGAAATCAATGTGAAAGAGAACAAAATTAATTGAGAGGGCCTAGGACCTGGAACACAGAATATGCAAAATAAGTGCTGGTTATTATTTTAGGCAGCTCATTGGTGGTGGGAGTCGGGGCTTGGAGGGAGGAAGTTAAGTACTGTTCAAAAACTTCCCAGTCCTTTCTCCACTCCTCTCTCACTCCCAACCTGCTGCTTCAGTCTTCTAAATCCAAACAAAAAGGAAGATAAGAGAAGCAAATACAAAGGAGAAGCCTGGATACTATGAATTACACACGGTAGAGTTTTGTGTCTTTCTCTGCAAGTCACCACTTTTCCCTGAAAGTCTTTATTTTTGCTTTAGTGTTTTAAACCAGTCAAAATAAAACCTACCTGCACTGCTTGAAATCCGTTCCAATGCTCAAAATCAGGAATAATACCTACAGACATTTTTTAAAGGTGCAAAACTTTTGAGAAGCACTAACCTCATTCTCTTTTTGGCATATATGAAAAAATTATAAAACAGGAAAATAAAATTTGAGATAAATGAACCGTTAGATGGGTTGCCTTTAACTTTTTTGAACTGTTATTTGAACATAATTTCAAAGTAACAAGAGTAAGAGTAGCACAAAGATCATTTGTATGCTATAAGCCTAGATTAACCTTATTTGAGACTTCACCCCCACTTGCCTCCTCTCTCTCTCTCTCTCTGTCACACACACACACACACATTTTTTTCTGAATGATTTTAGAGTTTTATTTATCACAGCTCATTTCTAA